CCTCCCAAGCATGATGTCCCTCTCCAAGGACCCGTCCCTCCTTGCAAGGTGTCTGAAGTATGTCAGACGAAACCCCAGAATCCTTGCCTCCAAGGAGTAGCCTGGTTTAATCCTCTCCAAGATGAATCTGTTTGTTTTCCTGGCAGTCCATGGTACATTCAGTACTCTTCTCCAGCACCACAGCTCAAAAGCATCAACTCTCCTTCTGTCCTCCCTAGTCATTGTCCAACTCTCTGATGCATAACAAGCGATCGCAAAGACCATGGCCTGTATCAGGCGCACCTTAGTCTCCAGAGAGACACCGTTGTTCCTGAGTACTTTAGAAAGGTCCCTAACAGCAGACTTTCCCATTGCGATACGCTTTTTGATTTCCTGACTGCTGGTGCCAAGAGTGTTGACTGTGGAGCCAAGCAAACTGAAGCTCTGAACCATCTCAATCTCTTCGCCATCCATCCTGACGCTGCCAATTGGTCCAGTGGTGAGAATCTTTGTCTTCTTGACATTGAGCCTCAGTCCATACTGAAGGCTGCAGTCCTTGACCCTTCGCAGTTAAGATCTAGGTATAGGTTTTGTATAAGCAGAATTAAATGCTCTGTAATTCCCATGCTTCTCAATGTTGGCCATAGTTTTGGTTTTGTTTTTTATGATCCATACAGTTAAATGCTTTTCCATAGTCAATAAAATGCAAATGGACATTTTTCTGGTATTCTCTGTTTCTGGTCAAGATCCACCTCACATCAACAATGATTATCTGATAAATGATACAGAAAGGACAAACAGATATATCTTGGAGAAAGCACTGCCCGAGGCAAAGATGGACCTGCCATCACTAGGGCCTGTCAGCCAGTCAGCACTTCCTCTACCGCCTTCTTCTCCAGAAGAATCAAGCCCGAGTACCTGAATGCTACCACCGCCACCACAGCTGTCCTCACTCTCCTCGTGGTGGAATCTCTTCCTAGGGCCTGGTCAAAACGGGGAGCTCACCAGGTGTCTCGGGATGAATTTGAACCTCGTCTTTCAGTTAGCAGCCGAACATATTCATCACCTCTATCCTCCGAACTCCTACACATAATGAGATACCACCTCACCCCTGCAGCAACAGCAACATTCAACAAAACGGCAAACAACAAATGTTGGTGAGAACGCAGAGACTGGAACTCTCATGCACGGCTGGTGGGATTGTAAAATGGTACAATTGTTATGGAAGACAGTTTGGCATTTCTTCAAAAAGCTGAACATAGAAATCCCTTCTTGTTGTTGTTGCTGCTGTTGTTGTTGTTATGTGCCATTGAGTTAATTGTGACTCATAGTGACCTTTGTACAACTGCCCTGAAACATGCTCTATCCTGCAACTACTTTACTATCTCTGATACACCTACCCTCATTATCAGTCACTGTATAAAAATCCCATTTGCCTTAGCTATTCCACAGCTTTGAATATATCAAAAAAAAATTGGAACTGAGATATGAATGGACATTTATACACCTATGTTCGTAGCAGGTTTATTCACAATAGCAAAAAAAAAAAAAAAAGGAAACAGTCCAAATGCCCATCAACAAACAAAAGGACTGAGAAATTGTGGTACAGTGGAATAATGAAATATTACGAATGAAATGCTATGAAATGAAATACTACACAATGAAATACTACGCAGCACTGTTTTATAAAATACTGTGTAACTTGAGAGAGGCTATATAGAATTTTGATGAATGAAATATCTCAGTCACATTGTAATAGCAGATTAAATACTAAGCACTCAAGAAGCCGTTTTATATGTTAGCATCAGAGAAGCCATTCTGTTCTGACAGCCATCTTAAGACATGTACACTTCAATAATTTTGGCAATAATAAGTGTTGCTAAGGTTTATGTTCCCTATTACATGCTGACCCAGTTTGGTTGCCACTCCCTGAGTACTTCCTGTACCTGCCCCGGGGTCTGGATACCCATGAGAAGTCAGAAACAATAGTGACTCCCAAATGCGGAAAAAATCTCAATTGCCAACCTCAGGGAACTTCATGTGACACCCCCACCCCCTGTCCAAACTCTCTGTATAAACCCAATCTTTGCTTCCCCTCGGGGTCAGAATGGTTTGGGCAATAGCTGACACTTTCGACCAACGTGTAATAAAAGGTTTGTTTACCTCCAATATTGTCTGAGGGTTTACATCTTGCATTTTCTGCCCTAACAGCATAAGGACAAATACTGCATAAGAGCCATACTGTGAAAACAGGAAGGTAACTGAGTAAGATATGAATAAACGTTAAAAAGGGAAAAAGAAAAGGAGGGCAGAAAAAGAGGAAGGGGCGAAAAACGCCCAGGATAGCAGAGGTTAGTGAGTAGAGGGGTGGAGACACAGGAAACTTTTAATAGGGGCTTGAAAAGACCTCTGTGGGGTAATAATAGGCATAGTTGTTGTTGTTGTGTACCATAGAGTCAGAATTGACCCATGGCTGACCTGCTAACAGGTTTTCAGAGGCCATTAATTACACGAGAGGAAACTGCTCATCCTTCTCCCACAGTGCAGCTGTAGCCTCGAACCACTTCCCTTTGGGATTGCAGTGCAGCTTCTTGCCACTGGACCACCAGAGCTCTCTAGGCATAGAGCAATTGTAATTAATTATATAAATACAATGTATGTGAATGATTGTATAAAACACAAAGTTCAGGTACAAAACAGGATGTAAATGAATGAATATATGCAAACCAATAAAACCATTTTTTTTAATTCATTTCAATGAACATTTATAGAGATGTTGGATTTTCATTCATTCATTGTTGCACTTTTCTCCCTGCCCACCCCTCCCCCCCGATCACTCTTCTCTATGAAAAGTAGAAGAAAAATGCTTTCATTGGTGTATTATCCCCTCACCCTGAGTACACTCCACTATGCAGCCTTCGTTCTGGACTCTTGTCATGACCATAATATCCAATCATATATCACTTTTAAACAGTTCTCTTTCTTTTCTGTTTCAATGCAGTATGCATAATTTATCCCGTCTTTCTCAGTCTCACCCCAATTCTGATGTCAGTCCTGTTGTACAACAGTGGCACCATGCAGTATTTGTCCTTTTGTAACTGAGATATTTCACGCAGCATAATGTCCTCCAGGGTCACCCAGTTTTAATAATAATGTATGAATTCCTTGTTTTTCAATGCAGTGCAATATTCCATTGTGTGAATATACCACAACTTCTCTATCCATTCATTTGTTGACGGACACTTGAGTTGTTTCCAAGTCTTTGCTATTGTGAACAAAGCAGAAATAAACATGCGTGGGCATATATCTGCTTGGGTGGCAGTTATGGTTTCTTTAGGGTATATTGCCAGAAGTGGAATTGCTGGGTCAAATGGTATTTCTACTTGCAACTTTTTTGAGAAAGCACCATACACAGTCTTCCATAGTGGTTGCACCATTTTACACTCCCAGCAACAGTGAATAAGGGTTCCAGTTTCTTTGCAACCTCACCAACATTTGTTAAATTTTGCTATTCTTACTGGGGTGAGATGGTATCTCATAGCTGTTTTGATTTACATCTCTCTTAGAGCTAGGGATTTTGAACATTTCTTCATGTGCTTGTTAGCCATCTGAATGTCTTCTTTGGTGAAGTGTCTGTTCATATCCTGTGCCCATTTTTCAACTGGGTTATTTACCTTTATCTTGTTGTGGTAAAACCATTTTCTTTAAAGCTTAATCACCTGTTTCATCAGGGTGAAGGGAGGCAGGTGGGATAGGGAGTTGCTGCTGCTAATTGGAAGGTCGGTCAGGCTCCAGGCTCCATGGGAGAAAGGTGGGCAATCTCCTGTCAGATTTACAGCCCAGAAACCTGCTGGAGGAAGCTAACAGGTTTCTGGAGGGTCAGCTGTGAGTTAACTCCAACTCAACACCAGTGAGCTGGGTATTTTAGAGGACCCTACTCTGACCTTATCAGTTTCCAGAGGCAATTTTGTTTCTGCAGGAGATTGGCTTATTTATCCTGGAGAAAATGCCAGCAGCTGGGACCCAGGAGAGGCTTAAGGAGGTAACTCAAGGCCTGCCTAGGCCCTTACACCTCTCCTATTGCTGCAAGCTCAGAGCCTGGCTCCTAGCCTGAGGCACACAAGCCCAGGGTGAAAGTCGAGCAGTTAGGAAGTCAGAAAGAAAAGGCCATGCATTCCTGCTTCCTTCTTCCCAGGTTTCCCAAGCAATGAAACTCCACAGATCACTGACCAATGAGTCAGGGCACAGACGAATCTCTGCAACCAGAGTTCTTTCAGAGCTGACCTTTGAAGAAAAAAAACCCAAGGAACTTGAGAAGCCCCTCTGCCATCCCCAGCACCTCAAAGAGAGTGGAGAAGCCCCTAGCACCTAAACCGAATTGGAGATACAAAGCATTTTCCCAGCACAGGCCAAAAGGACACAACTTTCTCTCAAAACAGGAGGCAGGGATACAACCCCTCCTGGACAAGTGCTTCCTAACCCTCCTTACCCTGTCTCACATCCTCTGAGATATGCTACTTATACCCAGGAACTAAAGGGTAACACCCAGCTTCCACTCCCATAGGTTCTGTGGGCAAAATGGAGATGCCCCTGTGGCCTGGGATAGGACTGAGAAACAAAAGCTTCAGGTGCTACACCAGGTTGGTATGGGCCCTGCCCTGGTCTCCAGGAATAGAAAGCCTGAGAGGAAAAGTCCTTTCTTCTCAGAAGCCAAGATGATAAGGGAGCAGTGTGAATAGTGCCAGCAGGGTCGCAGTAGTCAGCAAGGACAGGAGAAATAAGGAGGGCTGAGCAGAAAAGGCCCCAGGTCCTCTCCCCTTTAGGATCACAGCCCAAGAGACAGCGCGGCCAAGAGACAGCCCAGCCAGTTACAACGTGATTCTTCTATTTACCCAGAGTTACATTTGGCCTGATACTCTCTGCTCAGGGGAGGTGACAGCAGAAGACACCAGCAAGGACTGGACAGGAAGGTGATCCAGGGCTGTGCTAGACTCCTCGGCCACCCACCATCACCCAGGACAATGGAGACCTTCAACACGTCCACCTTTGTCAATTTCACCCTGCCGCCAAACTTCGGCAAGAGGTCCACAGACCTGGCGCTGAATGTCATCATGGGGCTCATGCTCTTCTTCATCATGATCTCCCTGGGCTGCACCATGGAGGTCAGCAAGATCAAGGTGCACCTCTGGAAGCCCAAGGGGCTGGCCATCGCCCTGGTGGCTCAGTATGGCATCATGCCCCTCACTGCCTTCTCGCTGGGTAAGCTGTTCCGGCTGAACAACGTGGAGATGCTGGCCATCCTGATCTGTGGCTGCTCGCCAGGTGGGAACCTGTCCAACATCTTCAGCCTGGCCGCCAAGGGGGACATGAACCTCAGGTAGGACCAAGGATGACAAGGAGCCTCCAGGGAACAGGAGTAGCATTGGCGAAGTCAGAATCAAGGGACAGAACTGGGTGTACCCGGAGAGAGAGTGAGTGGGCCTGGGTGCTCTGTGTGGGTGCTAAGACAGGAGTGGCTGTCATTTATTAGGTGGTGGCCCCCATTGGGCACAGCTTGGCTTAGACAGCAGATGTCTCATAAGCAGACTGCCCTGAAGGATTGGGGATTTAAACCGAGGTAGACTATAGTGTATCATGTTGTTCTTAGCTGTAGTGGAATCAGTTCCATCCTCCACGACGCCAGTCACACAGTAGAACTGCTCCATAGGGCAATGCTATGCCTTTCAGGAGCAGACTGGTAGACCTTTCTTCTGAGGCACCTTAGGGTAGGTGCAGACCACATCCTTGAGGTTGGGTTAAGAGCGTAACTGTCCTCAGGAGCACTATGCCAGCCTGCAGTGGCTAACAGGCTGTCTGTTTTGAAGTCATATCTGAAAATGTTACTGAACTCAAGGGGTTCTCTCAGAAGTCAGTAAGACAGACAGATTGCAATACCCATAAGCACTTTATTACAGATCTGGGAGGCCAGCAAGATTCCCCTCAAAACCTGCCTTGTCTTCTGGGAGTGTTCATTAGGTTTTTATGCTTGAGTTAGATTTTTGTTAGTTATATAATTTCTACGTTTGAATAGGACAGTTACTAATAAACAGGCAATTTATAAAATAGTTAACATGTAACTGAGAAAAACAGATTTGAAAAGGTACATGCTAATCCAGGAAAGGTGCATTTTCCTTCTTGGTAAACAGGCAGTTTATGAGACAATTTACATATGACTAAGAAAAACAATTTCAAACAGTAAACGCTAATCTAGGAAACATGAATTTCCTTTCCTGATAAACAGACAGCTTAATCGACTTTACATGATGTTGTTGTTGTTGTTGAGTGCCATCGAGTCGCCTGCGTCTCACAGCGATCCTATGTACAACAGCCCTAAATCCTGCTCTCTCCTGTGCCAATATCACTGTCTCCCACACACCTACCCTCAATTCCCCAGTCACTGAATCAATCCACCTCATAGAGGGTCTTCCTCTCCTGCACTGTCCCTCCACCATCCCAAGCATGACAACCTTCTCCAAGGACTGGTCCCTCCTTGCAACATGTCCAAATTATGCCAGAGAAAAAAAGAATTCTAAAGCAAAGTAACTAATTTTGCAGGCTTCAAAATCAAGAAGGGAGTCCGTCAGGGATGTATTTTGTCTCCATACTTTTTTACTCTGTATGCAGAACAGATCATCCGAGACGCTGGGCTGTACGAAGAGGAATGTGGCATCAGGATTGGTGGAAGAGTCATCAACAAGCTATGTCATGCAGATGCCACAACCCTGTTTGCTGAAACTGAGGAGGACCTGAAGCGCTTGCTGCAGAAGGTCAAGGACTGCAGCCTTCTATATGGATTGAAGCTCAACATCAAGAAAACAAAGATTCTCACCACTAGGCCAATTGGCAGCATCAGTATGGATGGTGAAGAGACTGAGATAGTTAACAGTTTTAATTTGCTTGGCTCCACAGTCAACACTCTTGGTAACAGCAGCCAGGAAATCAGGAGACAAATTGTAACTAGAAAGTTAGCTGTGAGGGACCTCTCAAGAGTACTGAAGAGCAACAACATCAGGCTAGAGACTAAGGTACACCTGATCCAGGCTATAGTCTTTGCAATTACTTGCTATGCATCAGAGAGTTGGACAGTGAATACGGATGATAGAAAGAGAATTGATGCCTTTGAGCTGTGGTGCTGGAGAAGAGTGTTGAATATGGACTGCTAGGAGAACAAACAAGTTTGTCCTGGAGAAGGTGAAGACAGAATGCTCCTTGGAGTCAAGGATTCTGAAGCTTCATCTGACATACTTTGGGCATGTTGCAAGGAGGGACTGATCCTTGGAGAGGGACATTATGTTTGGCAGAGTGGAGGGGCGGGGAAGGAGAGGAAGACCTTCAATGAGATGGATCGATTCTGAGACTGGAGTGGTGGGAATGAGTGCATTTGAGATGGCTAGGTTGGCACAGGATGGAACAGCATTTAGGACTCTTGTACATAGGGTCACTTGATGGCACATAACAATAACAACAAGGCAAAGTAATTTTTCAGGCTGGAGAAAACTGATGTCAGTTTTGTAACTATATAACTATAGTTCTATAACTGATACATATTTGGAGAATTCTGAGTTTATTAATATCACTCCATCTGAAAGGGGGTACAGAACAGTTCCCCAGTTCTCCAAGGAGATTAAGGTGGTTTTGAACCAAATGGGCATCTGCAGCATGCTTTGTCCACAGGTCAGATAGAACACCTGTGACTGACTTGGCAACAGAAAGAATTGGGATTACACAAATCTAAAGAACTCAAACCCATTGTCATGGAGTCGATTCTGGGGTTCAGAACTTGTAAAGCAATACAAAAATTCTCAAAGATCCTCCACACTGTTTATACTTTTGAGGAGTCAGCCACTTACCTTCTCTATCCCCCCAGCTGAAGCAGGGACACTTCCAAACCAAGATACAGTCTAGTAGCTGTGGGGGTTTCTTGCCATCAAACCAGGTTATTCTGGGCCCATCCCTCACTGTTAGGGGCAAGACCAGCAGCATGATTTTCTCAAAGCCTTAGGAACAGAAGGCAGTAGGGAGCTCTGGTGGCCTAGTAGCAAGAAGCTGCACCACAATCCCAGAGGCACATGGTTCAAATCCACCAGATGCTCTGCTGGAAGAAGGGGTAATCTCCTCCTGTACCAGTCAGATCCAATTTGATGGTACACACATACAAAGTAATAAATTTTTTTAAAAAAAGAAAGAAACAGAAGGCAGTGAGGGCATCCTCTGTGGGAAGCTAGGTGAACTCCATGTGTCCAATATGGTAAAGTTTCTTGAGCTTTAAAAGCCTGTAGAGTGAGTTACTTCAGACAATTCTCTCATTTCAGCAGCAACCTATAGTGAGGCTGAATAAAACTCCCTGCAGGTAACTTTTAGCCACTGGAAGCCTAGTACATAGGCTTGTCCATAGGGAGTCACACTGTCAACCCCAACAGCCTTTCTGGCTAGTCAAGTCCAGTGACTCCTTGAGAGAAAGATGGGTAATCTCCTCCCCTGCAATTTATGCCTCTGAGAAAATCACGAGAGGGTTAACTATGACTGGGCTCTGACTTGACAGAAATTAGTCATGTCTCAAACCAGTTTCCTCCGGTTTGGAATTCAGTTAAGAGGTTGTTCAATGTCATTCACTGAAATTCCACCACGATCTGTCAGCTTGAGTCTGTCAATGCTCTGCTCTTGCTTGAATTTTCCTGAGGAAACTAATTGATTAAAAGACACCCCTCCTGGTGGTACAAAGCAAAATTTGAGCCAGAATGTCAAGGACTGTAGTCTTCAATACAGATTGAAACTCAACATCAAGAAGACAATGATTCTCACGACCGGTACAACTGTCAGCACCATGATAGATGGAGAGGAGATTGAGGTTGTTAACAATTACAGCCTGCTCAGCTTCACGATTAACACTTGCTACCGCCTACTGGAAAGCCTCTCTCTCCAGACAGATCTTCCACACACATTCATGCACACTAGCCCCACTTGCAAAGCTCAGACCCCATCATCCACTAATATTTGTTGCCAGGCTTTGAATTTCTGGAGGTCTAGGAGCAGGAATCCCACCCTTTACCCACCTAAGCAGACAAAGCAGAGAACACCACATCCCAAAGCAAATTCCAAAAGTCCTGGCACAGCAAGCCAAAGTAAACATGATCCACTGTTTGAGGACACTCAGCACAAAGTTGTATGTGGAGTTTCGCCTGAGAGGAAATCAATAGGTAGCTCTGAAGCCACTTATGTGACCTTCTCCACCTCATTTCCAAGCTCTTTCCCAAGAGGGAAAGTGGTAGTTAGCATTCCCACAGGCCCTTTCGTGCTACTGTTGTGCTTGTTATTGCTCTGTGCAGCCGAGTCCACTCACCTGCCCTCTGATCCACTGCCATTGAGTTGACACCCATTCATAAAAAAATTGTCTTTAATATAGAACTGACTCATAGTTGACCCTAGGGCTTGATTCTTACTTTATGCAATGTTTTTGTTGTTGTTATGTCTTATGGAGTCAGAACCAACTCATAGCTGATCCTCCAGCAGTTTTGCAGAGGCAGTAAATCGCACAGGAAGAGATTTCCAAACTGTGTGCCTTTGGATTGGCAGCTTAACTGCTTACCATTAAGTCACCAAATGGGAAAGTAGTGCATCTGGGATGCATCTTGTCTCCATACCTTTTCAATCTGTGTGCAGAACTGGTCATTTGGGAAGCTGGGCTTTATGAGGAGGAATGTGGCATCAGGATTGGAGGAAGACTCTTCAACAACCTACTTTATGCAGATGACACAACCTTGCTTGCTGAGAGTGAGGAGGATCTAAAGGGTTTGCTACAGAAAGTAGCCTTCTGTAGTCTTCAATATGGTTTGAAGCTCAACATCAAGAAAACAAAGATTCTCACTACTGGGCAAATTCAATTGGCAGCACCACAATAGATGAAGAGATTGAGGTTTTTCACAATGTGTTTGCCTGGCTCCACAATCAATACTCTTGGCACCAGCAGTCAGGAAATCAAAAGACAAATTGTTCTGGGGAAGGTTGCTGTCAGGGACCTCTACAATGTCCTAAAGAGTAATTATGTCAGTCTAGGGACTAAAGTATGCCTGATCTAGGGCATGATCTTCACAATAACTTGCTGTGCATCAGAGAGCTGGACAAAGACTATGGATGACAGAAAAAGAATCAATGCCTTTGAGTTGTGGTGCTGGAGAAGAGCCTTGAACATACCATGGACTTCCAAAGAACAAATAGATCTGTCCAAGTCTCTCCTTGGAGGCTAAGATTTTGAAGTTCCATCTCACATACTTTGGGCACATAACTAGGAGGGACCGGTCCTTGGAGAAAGACATCATGCTCAGAAGGGTGGAAGGACAA